CCCCTCCGACCCCCAGCCCCGACTTTCTCCTCCTCTTCCTCCTCCTCGGACGACCCCTCCCTCGGAAAAGAAAGGAACCACAGGAGCCGGGGGTCTCTCGCTCGCCCTGGCCGGGAGAATAGAATAGACTGACAAAGAGTTGGAAGGGACCCTGGAGGTCATCTAGTCCAGCCCCCTGCTCGAGGGGTAGACCCTTACAGAATCATAGAATAATAGAGTTGGAAGGAACCTGGGAGGTCATCTAGTCCAGCCCCCTGCTCGGGCAGGAGATTCCTTCAGAATCATAGAAGGACAGAGTTGGAAGGGACCCTGGAGGTCATCCAGTCCAGCCCCCTGCTCGAGCAGGAGACCCTTACAGAAACATAGAGTTGGAAGGAACCCTGGAGGTCATCTAGTCCAACCCCCTGCTCAGGAAGGAGATTCCTTCAGAATCATAGAATGACAGAGGTGGAAGGGACCCTGGAGGTCATCTAGTCCAGCCCCCTTTTCAGGCAGGAGATTCCTTCAGAATCATAGAATAATAGAGTTGGAAGGGATCCTGGAGGTCATCTAGTCCAACCCCCTGCTCAGGAAGGAGATTCCTTCAGAATCATAGAATGACAGAGGTGGAAGGGACCCTGGAGGTCATCTAGTCCAGCCCCCTTTTCAGGCAGGAGATTCCTTCAGAATCATAGAATAATAGAGTTGGAAGGGATCCCGGAGGTCCTCTAGTCCAATCCCCTGCTCGGGCAGGAGATTCTTTCAGAATCATAGAAGGACAGAGCTGGAAGGGACCCTGGAGGTCATCTAGTCCAACCCCCTGCTCAGGAAGGAGATTCCTTCAGAATCATAGAATGACAGAGTTGGAAGGGATCCCGGAGGTCCTCTAGTCCAATCCCCTGCTCGGGCAGGAGATTCTTTCAGAATCATAGAAGGACAGAGCTGGAAGGGACCCTGGAGGTCATCTAGTCCAACCCCGTTCAGGCAGGAGACCCTTACAGAATCATAGAATGACAGAGTTGGAAGGGACCCTGGAGGTCATCTAGTCCAGCTCCCTGCTCGAGTGGGAGACCCTTACAGAATCATAGAATGACGTAGCTGGAAGGGACCTTTGAGGTCTTCTAGTCCAATCCCTGCTCAAGCAGGAGACCTTTGCAGAATCATAGAATAGAGTTGGAAGGGACCCCGGAGGTCATCTAGTCCAGCCCCTGCTGAAGCAGG